AGATGGTTATTTTGACCTTTGGTTCAAGGAATGTCATATTATATGAGAATGTCAGATTGTTGGATATGTTATATTGATGGGAACGTATTCAATTGATGCTCATTTGTGTTTGATTAACATCAAGGGAATGTGTCATAATTTATTTGATTTAAAGATATCTTATATTAATTGCAGATATGATGAATTACTTTTATGCCCTTTAAATCTGTAAATCTTATAACATAAATATCTTAAAAAATTTAAATGTTAAGGCAAAAGATATGCAGATAACAAGAATAGACATTCAAATATAATTAATACTCTGTCTGTTCCACCTAAAAGGTTGTTACACAATTTACGATGTTCGACTGACCATGAAACTAACTGATCTCTCTCAATAATAAGATTATTTTAATTTACATATTTAAACACTACATTAAAAGTTTTATAAAGTCACAAAAAATTAAATTTGGTAACAGTATATATAAAGAGATTAAATGAAAAGGGGTAATTAATTGAAGGTATTTTCGGAAGAAAATTAGATCACCCCAGGAATGTGAGATAACCTAAGGCATGAATGGGTTTAACACTCCCCTCCATATAACATTCCCGGGAATGTAACTTTCCCGATTTTTCTTCAAACCCATGAACCAAACAAGGGTATCTAACATTCCGTGCATCACATTCTGGCCTTCATGTGAGATTATCCCCAACCAAACGGACCCTTAAGGATTATGATTCATTGCTTGATTTGATTAAACTCATATGGAATCATTCTAAGTTTTAGTATAGTGTATAAGTCAGGTATGCTATGACGAGCAATTGATCATAGTAAGCCTATCTACATCTGACATAATCACAAAAAAACCAAATCAAAATAAATCAAATTGCAATCAAATTAAACCAAATCGCAAAACTGAATCGAATACAAAAAACGTAATTGTTTGGTTGGTTGCGATCTTTCAAGATCAAATCCAACCGAATAAATCGAATTAATTAAAATATTAAATTTTATTTGTCAACTGTAATCTTTATACTTTGTATCATTGTTAGTCTTTGATGTTCTAGTGCTAGAAAATTAGTTTTTACTGTTATACGTATTATGAATTTCTTGTGGGATGTTAAGTTATTATATACTACGAGTACGTACTACCTCCGTCTCAAATTGATTTGCAAATTTGACTTTTTTAGTCAAACAATTTCATTTTATTCGCTTAATTAGGATGTCAAATTTTAATTATATTCTAATTTGGAGTTTACAACTTTAAAGAGATTTTAATATAGTTTCTGGATATATAAATTTTAATTATTAAAAATTGAATTAATTATCGATAGGGAGTATTGACCTTTTTTATTGGTTGACCAGAAAATGTTGACTTTGCAAAACAATTTGGGACGAAGGGAGTATGTGATTTAGTTTAGTTTACAAAATTTATTTAGGATGTTTTCTTTTGGACGGTTTTCAATCCCAAATCAGACCAGACCAGATCAGACTTCCGTAGTTATAAAATACACAAAGAACATACGCTTACCAGACCAGATCAGACCGTAATAGACCAGAGAAGTAAATTTCAGTCCAAAAGAAAACATCCTTACACTTTCATTCCTGCAATAGTATAGCTATATTGATTTAGAGCCTGTTTGGTATCACGAAAATCGATTGATTCGGCTTATTCTGGTGAAATTTATGAAGTTCTGACTGAAGTGGCGGCATTGGCTGATTCTGCTGATTTAAGAAACAATTACTTTTAAAGTACCTTTTATGAATAAAATAAAGAAAAAATTATATGTAAAAATAACTAAAATGGTCATCTACAATAACTTCAACCAATACAGCCAGAAAAGTAACTGCAACCTTAATATTTCTTATTATTACACAATTCAGTGCGCGAAAACCAAAGTTACGTGTTTGGTGAAAAAGTTGGCTGATAAGCCGGAAATCATTGTTACCAAACGGCCTCTATATCATTTTTTTACGTATGTATAGCTTATACATACTCCCTCCGTCCCTAAAAGTTTGCCAAATTTGACCGGCACATAGAATAATAAAGTAAAAACTGTGTGGTAGAGATTTGTGTAGAGGAGAGAGAAATAACATAAGCCACAAATTGATTGATTAAAATGGAAAGTGGCAAAGGTTTTGGGACAACCAAAAAAGAAAAGTTGGCAAAGTTATAAGGGACAGAAGGAGTATATAATAGCACATACTCTGTATATACTCCCTCCGGTTCCTATTAAAGTTCCCAGTTTGACTTTACACAGATTAAGAAAATAAATTTGACTTTACTGTGGAGTGCACTGTTTGGCACTGTTTGGACACTGTTTGACACTGTTTGGCACTGTTTTGCACTGTTTTGTTTCCTACAATGGAAGTGTGAACTTAAATAAGGGACATCCCTAAAAGGAAAGTGAGAACTTTAATACGAACCGGAGGAAGTACAAATAAAGTCTAGACAGCCAAAAAAAAGTCTCCTGATACATCTTATTTAAAAAATAAATAAATAATAATACCTACTAGGAATAATTGAGTTGACTACCCGTGATTGCCCCCTAAGTTTCCACAGTTGGGTGAGGTGATCTTTTTACGTTGGCAAAAGGTGCAAATAAGCCTCCGAACTAATCGAAAAAGTACAAATCGCCATTTGGGGTGGTTACCGGTGAAATTTTTTGATGATTTTTTGTGATCATCTTCTTTGTTAAGTCTAGTTTATTCATCCCAAATTTCAGGTAAAAATTCAACAGAGAAGGCAGACGAATGATTTTGTGAAATATACTGCGCTGTTTATCTGCGCAGTTATCTTCAAACATTTATTTGACTGCCTTCACAATTGAATTTTTAGCTGAAATTTGACATGGGTAAACTAGACTTAATGAAGAAGATGCGCAAAAATATTCATCAAAAAATTCACCAAGAACCGCCTCAAATGACAACGGCTGAAAAGAGCCTCCTATAAAAGGAGTGATTTGCACTTTTTCGATTAGTTCGAGAGCTTATTTGCCCCTTTTCCCTTTTACGTTTGAAGAGAATAACAACATTAGGAAAGGTGCAATGCACAACAAGCATGTTCACTCGAAAGTGGGTATGCCAAAAGGGGTTCGGATAGTCGGTGTAGAAAAAGGATATGAGACTGTTGGACATAATTAAAATGTGACCAAAAGAATTCAAATTGTTATAAGAATGTTTTTATTTGGACCGTTTTTGATCCCAGATCAGACCTGATTAAATTGAGATAGTAAAATAAACAAACACCAGACATTTATCAGACCATACCAATTCAAACCAGATCAGACCAGACCAATTTAAATCTAAGTAAAAACATCCTAAAACGTATTTGAAAATAACATATGAAGAGTCCACCTTCACATCTATCCCTAAAGTCATCGATTCAATGTAATACTTTCGCTCATTAACTGGACTTTGTCAATTTTTCTTTCTTAATTCTCTAAATTGGTATCACTTCACTTTAAAGTAATTGCTCATAATTAGTACGGAATAATTATTAGCTCACTCTCTTCTCTACTCATATATTTTGACCATATAGATTTTACATTTTCTTATTATATGTGGAAGTCAAACATGTTAAATTCCAGCAGACAGTGGAGGTACAATGATAACACTATTTAGCATCAGCCTCAAACTAGGCTTGGATTGGGCCCGGTCCGGTTCGAAAACCCGGTACCGGCCCGGCCGGTACCAATATTTTTGGACATGGACCCGGTGTCAGCCCGGGATCCTACCGAGACCGGCCGGTCCTGTCCGTAGCGGCAGGTCTAGGTGGTGTTGATGTTGGCATTGACTTGTGGTACGCACGAACTGTCGTGTTGTATATGCTATTATTTATTATTCTATTTTGTAATTTATAATTCAATAAACATGTAGGGTTTTCATTAAGGGTAGTTTTGTCCACTCGTGTATTTTTTACTCCTATTCAATCTTACGGAACATCAGACTCCTACTTTTGTACTTTAGTTATGCTAAGCTCCTAGTTAGGGAATTTACTCAAATATCTTTCTTACAATGGTTGCAAGTTGCATACCACTTCTCAGTTGTCGGGTCCTTCCACTTTTATAATTATTTTTCATAAGAAGAGATTCACCTTTCTTACCAGGTTGGGATGAAACAATCTCGTCTTCGTCGTTGGTGTCATTGTCCGGGGTTTGAGAGCCGCCTTGTTCGTCCAAACCCGTCGCGGGTTCCTCCTCCGCGTCCTCATCCTCAAGCTCTTCCTCAATGTGGGGATGTCATGTTGTTGATAAAAGTGCACATCTTGTTGGACCAATAGTTGTTGTAGTTGCACGTCGGTAATCGCATCTGCATCTCTCCGTTGGTAATCCGTTTCAAAATCATTTCGGCTTTGAGAAGAAGACCCGACATGTCCTTTGCCTCACGAATGAGGATGATTCCTCCCAGTCTCCTTTCGATTGCGATAGAGATTATCTATATCTACAGAATGTCTAGCACGTTCCATATTAAAATGTAACAAATATTAAATTCTTACAAATATGTTAATGTGAGTACAAAAATAATGCAAATAATAAATACCTTAATCTAACAAATATGTTAATGTGAGTGCAATTGTGCAAAACTGCAAATACTTTAATTGCAACTAGTTTACTAGTTTAATTAACAAAAATTGCAACTGCTTTAATAATTCAATATAACAAGTGTATTTTATACATTCATACATTTTCCCTATAGTTAATTAAATATAATAAGTAGATATAATATATGTATTTATAAGTAGATATTAAGTAGATAATAAATATTAGTTTCTTTAATATAATCAGTAGATATAATATATGTATATATAAGTAGATATTAAGTAGATAATAAATATAAGTAGATATAATATATGTATTTATAAGTAGATAATAAATATATAAGTAGATATAATAATTGTATAACTAATATGAATAGTATGATATATATTAAAGGACCCATAGCCCACCCCCTTACACCGGTTTAGGCGCAACTGACCGGTCCCGGTACCACACAACCGGGCCGGTCCGATACCACACGGTGGCGGTCTGGGCCGGTCAGAACCGGACCGGTCCAATGCATGAAAAATATTTAATAGCTTTTATTAAGGTCAATAAATCGGAGATTGAGATATTACATGATTATCATTACAAGTTACTCCTCAACAATGTAAACCGTATACACATATGGTACACATCTTACTGAAGCTTATTTGGATTTATTCCTCGTACTGCATGAGACCGGTCTCCATTCCTCGATGGTCGGGAAACCGCTGTTCTTTGAGGGTGTCTGGAAGCTGGGTTGGGGCTTTGAGAACTGTGTGGCAGCTGCCCGGGCACCCGCGATTGCTGAAACAAGACTTTCAGACCTGTTTGGTTTTTTATCAGATGAAATACTGTTAGAGGAAGGAGGAGTAAGTGATACTGGCTTCAATGAGGACGGGTTCTGCGGAATCGGGAGACGGAATTCTACTGGTAGCGGAGGTGTGACTGGAGTTAGACCTCTTACTGCGCCCTCATACACCTGCCCAGTTTTGAAAATTCAAGAAAACATAGGTCAGACATGTAAAATCTTTATTGTTTTTTGGCAAATCTAGTTCTCTAGAGCTATTTATTGTCAGTTTCGATCTATTTTTTTCAAAGATCAAGAATTTAACATCAAAGTCACCTGAGAGTTACATCCACAAGAAAATACTGGTTCAAAATGACGATCTGACATGTTAGGGCTGTTGAATACAAAATTGAAAATTCTCTTTTTTTCAATTAATAAATGGGGTTTCCCAAAATATTACTAAAATTAAACTTAAAGAAGAAAAAACTACATGGTAACTCCTAGCACTTGCCAAATATTTCACTTGGCATCAAAGAGTTCATCTTTTTTTTGCTGACTTTTATTTCTGTAATATATTTCTCATTATTGCTAAAGGAAATACTTGCAACCTAATTTTCTTTCAATAGTGCCTTATGTTCAATTTGTACTTTTCAAGACCAAATTCTCAATGTTTAGAAAGCCACGAGTCTATATTTCAAAAAAACGGGACTAATTTTATGACCCCACCCCCCTATAGTTATACATGGATAATGACGGGCTCACTCCAGAACTTTTGGTTCCCGGGTCTAGGGGAATCACAAGTCATAACCAGACCTGTTCAGGACCAGTTCAGTTCCACCGGCAGGTTCAGGCAATTCAGATTTTTCCCATTTTTTAGAATCCCATGCTCCAAAATTGCTATTTGTGGCTAGTTGGGCCGATTATTGTTGCGGGAATACAGAAAGCTAAACAAATCAACCGCAACCGTAACCGGCGGCTCCTGTACACCAAAACCCGGTACCTTATACTGTTATACAATTTGTTTGGATCTAGTTCACCATTTCAGGTTCTGGTTAGAACCAGTTCCGGTTGTGGTTCTGTTAGGAACCATGTCTACCCCAATAGAGAATTGAGGGACAAACATGGTTGGGAAACAAAATAAGAATAATCCCGAGAATTAAACAAAAAAATTACAAAGCAGCAAACAGATAGTGAATTTTACTCCACAGTCCACACCTTCCTTTCCAAATTATAAACGCCTTGACGCCCCCTCATCTCAAATGGAATGATAAGTTTCTGCAATAATCATCAAAACAATTTCTTAAATTAGATAACATAACCAAACAGAGCATATCATTGCGTGTTTGTTAGTAATGAAATGCAATTCAAACCTCTGGTTTCTCACAGAGCCAGCAAAAGTCCGTCAGTCCTTCTAATCTCACCTGTTGATAGAAATTGTGATATGAAATTACACAAGTATACAAAGAATTGCAAAAGTGGGCCATAATTTATTCTGAAATATAAAAAAATAAAATAAAATGAGATGAAGTATTAGAAAAAGGTGTTTTATACCCCTTCTGGAAGTTCTTCCCAGTTCACGAGCTCTTCTCGGGTTACACACCCAACCACTTCAACACACCCTGCAAGATAGTCAAAGTTAATGCATGTATGCAAGGTATACGGGCTTGTTTGCCCAGGAGTTTTGTAGGGGAGAGTGGGAGACAAGGGGAGAATTGGATTTTGCTTACTAATCTGCATCTACTAGTTAGTCTAAGATAATAATAAATAAAGTACTCAAAAATAATTATTATTATGATATGTTATGATACGTTTAGTTCAGTTGTGCATTTCTGTACAGCTTTTCATCTTCACAGAAAAATAAAAAGACAAATATCACCTCATGCCTTTGGGATCCCCTACCAAACAAGGGCTAAAGGAAAATATACTTTACAGATAAGCCAGACCTTATAAACTCAAGGACAATATGGATCCAAAAGCAAGGTACAAATATTTCATGGTAGTTTTTAAGAAACTTAATTTTAAAAGGCACGAGGTAGAGGCCTGCGCCTCACAGAGTCACAGAACTTAACCATATAACTTTGGTAAGCTATATTTATACTACTTCCACATGAAGCCCACTTCCCAAAAAAATACCTAAGCCATTATTATAGCTTAAGTCTTATGAAACACCAAAGTTATTAACAAAGAAACAAAATATTTGTTCATACAGTAGCAAGAAACATATTCACTCGATCATATATTAATAGTAAAAAAATTAAACAATCTGCCTAGTGAACTTTAGTCATATTGGAGGAGTATATAGTAACACTCAAGTTTCTTAAATAATATAACAAACTGATCATCTATTATTAATAGTAAAAAATTTAAACAATTGCAAACCGATAGTCATATATAACAATCTGCCTATTCAAGCTCACTGTAATAGTACTTTAAACAATCAGATAGTAAAATCTAACATTTAACAACCTTCTTGTTCAAGCTCATTTTATAGTAAACTTTTTTAACAATCTGCCTAACGATTACTCATATACGGAGTATAAAACAAATAATGGTAAACTAGCATATATTTTATTAATGAGTATATTGTCTAGTAAGTTGATAAAAATTGCTGGAGGAAAAACATAACCAGAACCAAACATTAGAATGCAAAATTCAAGTACTCAAATTACCTTGCTAATACCTATGAACCAAATAGGCAAATAGCCCCTAAAAGAAGTCCTTATTAGCTTTCTGCTTCACTCTAATTGAATTTGCTTGAGATGAATAAATAGATAATAAATTTAACACATTCCCCATGGGACATTTTTAAAACATATTATAGTCAATAAGTCACATCTAAGTACAGAAAGCATCATTACGAAACTCAATGTAAATAAATCAACCCAATTGAGTCAAGAGTGCCTCAATTATAGCAAAGAATTAGGTACCTAGAAGTCTTGAGACAGGATAATGTTCTGGAAACTGGAGATCAGTAATGCCATTAACCGCATATATCTCCCTATAAAAGTCTTCCATTGCTTTTATAGTCTCTGGTTCTGGTACCTTCCCAGCAGCATGGATCCAAAGCCGACCTTCATCAATTAAAAAAACACAAATTAGTTCATAAAAAATTAATACAATGCAGTGAGGCAAGAAAAGAATGAATGATTCATTGCTTCTGCTGGTAAGCGGCAGGAACCATATCAGTTGATAAATGTATTTGGAAACTACAGTTCCAGAAGACATGGTAAAAAGAAACTATTCCCTATCTTTTTGGAACGACAAAAACGTATTCTGTGTAGCCCTACAGCACAGTTAAAGTTAAAAATAGTAGGCTAGTAAGAGTAGTAGCTAGCATTAATGGTTAAAATTACTATCACCTTGATAATTAATATGGTTCTACATGTTCAATAAACACTGAAAATAAAGTTGTATACTACTGTCACCAATGACTACTCCAAGTTGAATTTATATAGAATTGAAATCTGCAATATAGAGATTCTTTAAACCTCAGAAAAAAAGGAAATAAATGAGCTACTTTTTACACAAGATCTGCAGCAATGCATTGGGTAAATAGCCCAGCTTTTCTACTGGAATTTATTTCAGATCTAAAAAAGCCATTTAGACACCAGCACTAGCAGCATACGCCATACACCCAAATTAAACCTAAAAACAGCATGAATTGAACTGCACAATAAACCTGCCAATGCACAATAAACGAATAGATTCCCTTTTTTACCTAAAAATGCATTAGTTCAAAAAATATTCCACTTTTAGTCCCGGGAAACCACAGCAAACCAATTTCGATACATTAACCAGTCCAAGACTTCCGTACTCAGCTGACAATTTCTACTTTTGGTATAACAATTCATTATAGACTTTACCAACATACAATTATAAATAATTATGGTTAATGACACCTCAAAAGAAAGTTAAAATATGAACTAGGGATACTCTTTAAGCGGTCAGATTAGGGCGTCTTTAACTGGTATACTTGGAAAAATAACAATCTTTAGGGTAGATAGATCATTTGGAAATAAAGCAAATTGGGGAAAAGGAGAGGAACCTGTAATGGGGGAAGGCCAGGACCTTCCCTCGATACGTTTGATGCCCTGAATCAGCAAAGAAGCCCATGGCTGATGCATAGTCAGACATGGGTTTGTGTAGTTCCCACGTGACATGACTGTCCTTGATCTTTGTGATTGCACCAAAAACTCTGCAGAATTGGGTTTTTTTAAGTACAGATTTTCTCTTTCAAGGAAGACAATCTGCAGACTTGAGCATATACTAGTATATTACTCCGTAATCCCTAATCCCTAATCCCTATATACTCAGATACTCCTTGCTCCTCAAGACTTTGCGTTTGTTTCCTAATTGTAATTCGGCTGCTTTCTTCGAGAAAAACAAATTTATACGGAGTAATTTACTCCGGATTGTATTATGAATAGTACTTTCTCCCTCCCCTGTAACTTTGAAAACTTTTCTTTTGTGTATGTCCCGTTAATTTTGTCATTTTCACTTTTAAGTAAAGAATTTATGGTTCCACTTTATTATTTTTCATCTGCACAAACCTCAACCACATAGTTTTTACTTTATTAATACTCGTGCCGGTCAAATTTGGCAAAATATTGAGGGACGGAGGGAGTATATGACTTGTGCATGGTCTACCCAAACGAGATCATCATTAGTTGTCCCACTAGTTACCTCATTTGAACCACACTACACGTGGACTAGAAAAACCGTAATCGACTAATCATGGTAAATAACGATACTCCATTCGAATAGAAAACATGTCTCGTTTCATCATATCTGGCGACAAGCCAACGGGACCACTCACTCTCTGGCCCAACTACACCCAGCCCATATTATTGGTTTTTCTAATGCTGTTGATCTTACAGGCCAGGTTAAGAGAGCTTATTTTACGGACAAGTTTAATATTCCTTCTTTTCGTTCGTGATTCTTTGTATGTTGCTATATTTTGTTATACTTTTTTTTGTAATACTTTTCCTGGAAGAGATATTGGTCTAGTCTCCCTCTTCATTTGTATTTCCATTTCTCTTTAATAAAATCCGGTAAATGTCCCCGGCATTTACCCACTGATTTTGGTTGGTTGGCCTTCCGGGGTATTAAAAAAAAATAACCACAAAACCGGCACTTTTTTATTAACCATACCATGTTTTTAAAATCAGGACGGTTAACCAACCAATAGAAACCAATAGAAAATGCGGTTAACGGTACAATAACGGTATGAGACTAAATACCGTGGGTTAATCGGTCGATAACTCAAAATTAATACGTAGTACTTCGTATATTACCAGAGAATTCATATATGGTTGTTCAGTTCCGTTTAAGAAATCCATACAACTAATAACGGGGCAACAGAATGTTATCAGAACGTATATAAAGTATCACTATAGTTAAATCACGTAATATGGCATTAGTTATAATATAACACGTACATTGTCCATTGAGGATGTTTTTACTTGGACTGTAATTCGTCCCAGACCAGACCAGACCAGACCAGACCAGACAAGACCAGTTCAGATCAGACCAGACCAGACCAGACTTGGATAGTTATAAAAATGCAAAGAAACCAGACCAGACCAGACTAGTTCAGACCAGACCAGATCAGACCAGACCAGATCAGACCAGACCAGACCAGACCAGCAAATTACAGTCCAAGTAAAAAAGTGAAGTGAAATATAGCATTTTTATGAATATTTACGCATCAAGAGTTTTTACCAAATTAGGTTATGGATGTGATGAATCCATAATTCAACAATGGTTTAGAAAATTATGATTTTTGTTTAGAAAATTATTTCAACAATGGTTTTATGTTTTTTGGTTAACCGATTTGTGGTTAATCGAATTTTGGTTAACCGAAGCTTTGGTTAACCGATACTTGGTTAACAGAAGTAACCGGTTTCTCGGTTAACCCGAAAATTGGTTAACCAAAACACGGTTAACCGACCACGCCCAAAACACAGGTTTTTATAAACGTAATTTTATCCAAAAATAGTACTCCATCCGTTCTCTAATTACAGTTCTCTCTTCATGTTTTTTAAGATGAAAATAATAGGAGTAATATATACGGTGTACTATAAATATACGGTGTACTATAAATAAAAAAGTAGAAAAAGAATATTTTAAAAAGAGTAAAATAATGATTAAACACAAAAAAAGTATATTAAGAAGAGAAAAATAATAAGAAAGTAAGAAAGATAAAGTAGTTTGTAAAAAATAAAAAATGTAGGGATAATAAGATTGGGAGTAAATATATTTTGATAGACAAAACTTACTATAAAAAGAAAGAGAGACACTTACTAGAGAATGGAGGGAGTACTAATATTCTTTATTCCTTATTAATAAGGAGGCTAAAGATACTGCACTCATTTGAAATTTGAAATTTGCCCCCCTAAATTAAAAAAGTCTTAATTGACACGCTACCTCGTAAGGTTTCAACCGGGTATTATAATTCACATGACAACTTAAGAAATCACATAAGCCTTTGAGTCCCACTAATGATATCCGGTTCGGTACGGTTCGGTCCGGTTTTGAACCGGTGCACACCCCTAATAATATTATTATTATTAATAATAATAATAATAATAATAATAATAAAATACGGTCTGGTCAGGTCTGGTCTGGGACGAATTACAGTCCAAGTAAAAACAACCTAACTTATTCGATTCACCCTCTCAATCTTAAAAAATATAAAGTAAAGTACAAGTTAAAAATACAAATATAGGCATTAATAGAATAATATAAATATTTTGCAGTAAAATCATATCAAAATAAAACATAACTCACGGGGTACAAAACTAAAAGAAATTATTTAACTTTATTTTCAGATTTTATATTTATATGTATAGGGACAAACTATACAATATGCGTAGTATTGTTTACTAATTATATTTAAACTTGTATTTTATGTGTTATATTTGATATTTTCTATTATACTCGATAAAATATGTTTTGGATATTTGGTTATTTATATAATTTATATTCCCTTCGTCCCAAAAAGATTTGTCAAATTGACTTTTCTTGGTTAATCATAGTGAACTTTGACCAAAGATATTTTTTAATACAAAATTATTTTGAGTATGAGAATTATATTAAAATACATAAAAATAATTACAATTTTCATAAAAGCAAAAAATTTATAAATTATATACAGATTTAATAATTAAAATCATTGTCCAAAATTTTTCATACTGACCAAGAAAGTCAAGATGTCATATCTTTTTGGGACGACAATAGTATCATGGTTCTGTGTCTTTACATGTTCTCAAGAGTGAGACTAAAAAGCGGGTGGGAGGCGTATTTTCCAGTGTGTAAGGGTGGCTGCATATGGTAGCGAGATGAAGCACTAGGCAACAGAGAAAGTTCCCTACAAGGGCCTTGGATTAGCGTTAGGCGTGGCTTCAGTTGATTATGAAGGAAGGTCTCACAGAACAACTACAGGGTGGGATGGAGGAATTGTGTCAAGCCTATGAAAGGCTGGTAATGGAGGGAACATGAAGTGTTATTGCTAGAATCTATGTATGCATCCGATGACAAACAATGAGAGACTATCGCTAGTTGGAACCAAAACATCGGAACACTCAATACATTTTTCTATATTTCGTGACATTGTGGCTTTAGTTTGGAAACATGGTAAGAGTGTTATATAATTGAGTTAAGAGCTCGGTGATTTATGTTCAATTTTTAAACTGAGAGTGATATGAATAGAGTGCTTAAGGAGGGATAATGGTTGGTTGACCAAAATTTTATCATTATGATGAATTTTGAGGGGGGGGGGGGGGGTTACCTCTCTCTCTCTCTCTCTCTCTCTCTCTCTATTTTAGGAGGTATGTAGGTGGTTTTTCACTATGTTTTGTGTGTGGCTATTTGGAAGGAAGTAACGAGACTTATATGACCTTGAAATTGCTTTGAAACCCTCGCATGTTCAGTGATTATTTTTTCTCAATTATAGACAAATTACTCTATGTCTGATCAGGAGCGAGATGATCTTATGAGTAACATGAATCTAATAGTCAGAAAAAGACGAGATGTGACTATGTGAGTGTGGCATATGATTCATTATTTGTATTGTTTTAATATAAGTGTTCTTCTTTCAAAACAATTATGTATGTATTTTACATTTGTATTTTGGGTAATTCATAATTTAAAATTTATTTAATTTTTTTAGATAATATGTAAAGTTATACACACACACATACTTCGTATTATTTTATCTTTTAATGTAATATATTCGCTCTCGTAATATACATCACAAAAATATTATGCTATTCTTTAAATCTGGTAGGTAATTAAATACCAAAGTCGATGGGGGTAATTGTCGGATAACATTTACTATTTAAAAAGAATAAGTAAATTCAAACTGAGAGAGAGATCGGACCAAATCTTTTCCAGATAAGACATACCTTCTTGAAATACAAGATAATAACTAGAGTAAAAAAGAATGACACTCCATCCTTGAGGCCCTTAGCATTGGTCGAATCCTTAACTAGGAGGATGTAAATCGAACTTTAATCACATAACGAGTAAGACTAGCTTGGTCTGACCTAAGTACATGTAGAAGCCTTATGACTTTGTACATAATAACCTCTCACGCAGTTGTCGGGATCAGAGCTCGAGACTTATCCCTTGTGACACCCTACTATACTATCTACCAGTTTAGCTACACCATCGGCGATTAACAAAGTAAAAAGAATCTTGGGGGCTATACCTAACCCAAAATAAAAAACAATTAAAACGAAATAAAAGAATTTTGGGAGACCAAACCTCACCCAAAAGTACACTCTAAAGTAGGGTAAACTCATAGAATCAATAATAAAAAATGTGTTAATTAAAGAAGGAAATAGTAGTGTTGTCCGCATATATCTGAGAACCTTTTGATAACAAATGAGTGGTCCAATCGTCTCAAATATCCTCTAGAAAAATGTATGATATATCAAATAATTCTTTAATATAAATATAATAATTACACTTTTATATTAATTATTTATTTAATACCACATATATAGTAAATATTATTTTTTTACTAATTATAAATACTACATGCTGTACAGCTGTACTAATTATCTATTTTATACTACCTCCGTTCCTATTTTATCTTCCAACCCACTTTGGCACACAATTTAAGAAAAATGGGTATTGTGTGGTGGAGAGTTGCGCAGATGAGAGAGAAATGTGTAAGAAATGTTGTGAACCACAAATTCTTTACTAAAAAGGGAAAGTGGAAATTTAATTGGAACGGACGAAAAAAGAAAGTTGAAAGTTTATTTAGGAACGGAGGGAGTAATTCGTATCGTATAAAGTAATTTAATATGTATGTGTATGTGTACACTCTTACTCACATGTGTGTGTATGTATGTATACACACATATTAAGTTTTTTTTTATATAAAATACAATTATAAAATATGAAAATTAAGTGTAAAGTTTCATGTTGTATATATTTTATATGAAATTGTTAGACCAGACGTTCTTTGTCTTCCCCATCTTCTTTCAAGATTTATTCTTAGAAGCATTGCTTCCATATAAACTTTAAACAAGAGACACCACGTTCACGGGAGGAAAGAGAGAATCACTTGAGAATGGATAAATGAAATGTGTTGATGTTATTTGCGAGACGTCGTTTCAAAATGAAAACGCACAACGTCACATTAACCGCTAATAGAATGTAATTGGTATTGTTTTAGTTAATTCACTTAATTGTAAAACTACACATTACAAATTTAAGGGCTTTTTTCTTCAATATTACTAAATTAAAGACAATTTCCAAAAATATGACCATTTTTTAAAAATAACAAAAATGTGACTAAGAAGGTGATATATTTGGAAAAACATGATGTCACTACCGGATTTTCATGTCACTGTAATGTTATTTTCAGATTTTTATGTCACTTTTGAATGTCACTGCCGATTTTATATAACTTTAGGATGTCACTGACGCCGTGAAACGTGTCACTATGCTGCCGTGAAACAGTGTCACTGTGTCGTCGAAAAAATTTCCGACGACGTTTTCCGGTCAAAATGTTGACGACCACCTGCAACTGTTGTCGCCACCCTAACATTTCGCCCGCCGCTATCTCGCGAGTTGACTTACTTCCGCTGTTGACAGCTCTAGCCTACCATCCTCAGTCGAGTCAGCCCCAAATCCCCCCTCCCCAGTCCCTACATACCCCCTGGCCCAAATCTCGTCCCAAACCATCGCAAATACCCCAACCAATCCCAACTCTAGTTGTTTCCATCCGGGTCTGGACCAACGCCGGTGTTGTACCTTGCCGCTGGAACGCCGACGGGTCTATCCGCGAAGACAACGACGAAGACTATGGCGGCGGCTCTGTCCATGGAGGGCGAAGGCGGCGGCTCTGTCTGCAGAGGGCGATGGCGGCGGATCTGTTCGCGGAGGGCGATGGCGGCGGCCCTATTGGTGGTGGGCGATGCCGGTGGCTCTATCTGCGGAGGAGTGGGGGAGATGGTAGACTGCTCCTGGCAACAACCGCTCTGGGAGTTGCTGTGTCTATTACGAATCGAAGAAGGGAAACCTCTTTCCTGGGGTTGGTCAATGAACGCACAAGAAAAAAAGGGGAAGGGATGAGTTTAATTGATCACATTTATGGCAAAATTAATTTTGGTCATATTTTTGTCCAACCAAAGATGAGAAGTAATATTTGTGCCGTTGTTTCCAAACTTAATCGGGGTATGATTTAAATTGAACGAATACACTTAAATGCACCTAATCTGATTATGAACTGAATTAAATCCAAAATACACATAATCTAATTTATTTATAGGGGAAGAATATGTGGACATTATCGCTATCAGCTTAAAATATCGTAGTGGAAACAAACAAATTGCTCCAAGAGAAAACAAAGCCAAAAGAAGGAAAAGGATAAACAGTGTTGACTCCACTTCGAGTCCTCTCTCTCCCACTGCCGCAGCGGCCTCATCCCCCTGCAGAATCCATAACCCAAAAAGCCATTTTTTCTGACCCAATGCTCCCCTCTTCCACCCAAACACCCTTCAAAAGTCATTAAAGGCCTTCCTTATTCCCTTCCCTGAGATGCTAATCCGTCACTTTATTCTCGTCTTCTTCTACTTCTTCTTCAATCTTCTTGATTTGTAAACTCGCGCTCGCATACACCCGCTGCTACGTAAGTGGAAATAGCCGGACTTTATGGATTCTTTGGCACTGGATGATATAATCAAGAGGTTGTTGGATGTTAGGGGAAGACCAGGAAAGCAAGTTCAGCTCTCCGAGTCTGATATCAAGGAGCTGTGTATGCGTTCCAAGGAGATTCTACTGCAACAGCCCAATCTTCTTGAACTCGAGGCCCCCATCAAGATCTGCGGTAAACATTTCTCGACCTTCTCCTTCGCTTTTGAAAGTCTTTTGGTTTGATTTGGTGGTCGTTGTGGAATTGACTTTATGACGCGTTTTTTTATTGAAGTTAAATTTCTAGTCAGTCATCAATTGAAGCTGAATTGAAGTTTGACGTTAGGGCTCGTGGGTTTGGGGATTTTGGAGGGCATTAGCCTTTTTTTTACTAATTATCACATTCTTAGTATATTTCTATCTAATTTTCTTCTTCTGAATGCAAGAATAATTAAAGTAAATATTATCCCTCCTAAGTCCCCCAAACAGACAAGGGCTTAGGTGTTTTCTACGTGATGCTTCAAATAAAATCATCACCATTACCCCCAATGCCTCAAAAGCTCCCCCCTAGCATGGGGAGGTCGGATGGAAATACAGAAGTATTTAATCCATAGGAGTATTTAATTTTATTTTATTTCATTAAAATTGTACTATAAATCATACGTAGTAAGTGATTGTGGACTGAGTTTTCCCGACGATTTGTCTGGAAACAACTTATACAGACAAAGTGCGAATGGTGCACAAAGAAAGGTGCACACCAAGCATTTTTGTAAAATAAAATGAAGAACAGACAATATCATGTAGTACCCTTAACTTTTCAAGTGGATATAGTTATTACATATCTTTTGTATTGTATACTGACTTTCTTATACGGAGTATGTTTTACATGTACTTTTTGGGGTTGCATGCATGATGGAAAAGCTTAGTTATGCTGCAAATTCCTCGGAAGCTGTTATTGTGGGTGCCATAGTTGTTGGTTTTTTGGTTTCTGTGTATTGTCCCCCCATATAGCACTTCTTATGAAATCCTCCCTACATCTCCAAATATAATGCTCTATTACTTTTTCATGATTTTTAATGAAAACAGTTCAATAATTATGTATTTACAATATATCCTTTAAGAGGGCCCACACATTCAAATCATTTAAAAAGCTAAAAAGATAGTAAGAGTGCAGTCAAGAAATTTAAAAATTAGCTGTGTTAAAAAGAAGAAAATGGACTTTATTGTGTGATGGTGTAAAAGAAAAACAGAACAAACAAAATGGTACAACAGGGGTACTTGTTTTCCCCAACAGATTTTTTTAACTCAAAAGGGAAGTTGCAGAAGCTTCCGGATTTTAGTGTATTATGTTGATATCATTAGGTAGCGCGCTTCATGATCCAACTCTAATTTGACATTCCATTTCACTGTTTTGAAAGATTGCTCCCATTAAACTCATTTTTATGATTCCTTGACACTTGTCATTTTCCAGAGATATTAGACTTCCTTCATTTTTTGTATTGCAGGCGATATTCATGGCCAGTATTCTGATTTACTAAGGCTCTTCGAATATGGCGGCTTACCTCCGAAATCTAACTACTTGTTCTTGGGTGATTATGTGGACCGTGGGAAGCAAAGTCTAGAAACGATATGCCTCTTGCTTGCTTACAAGATAAAGTATCCCGAAAACTTTTTCCTTCTGAGGGGAAACCATGAGTGTGCTTCTGTTAACCGTATATACGGATTTTATGACGAGTGCAAAAGGAGGTTCAATGTCCGGTTGTGGAAAATATTCACCGATTGTTTTAACTGCCTGCCTGTGGCTGCACTGGTTGATGAGAAGATATTGTGCATGCATGGTGGGCTTTCTCCGGATCTGCATGATTTGGATCAGATAAGGAACCTACAAAGACCTACGGATGTACCTGAAACTGGTTTGCTTTGTGATCTGCTTTGGTCTGATCCGAGTAAGGACGTGAAAGGGTGGGGTATGAATGATAGGGGGGTCTCCTACACTTTTGGTCCCGATAGGGTGACTGAGTTTCTTGAGAAACAAGATCTTGATCTCATTTGCCGTGCTCATCAGGTCTTATTCATATATTGCTTGTTTGTGAAGATTATTTAAGACTTGTTTGACTCTGGGTTGGGGGTTTTTTGAATTAGAAAATAACTAGTCCTTTTGCGCCCAAAAAAGAGTCATGCCTGTAACACTTTCCCCCCCAAAAAAGAGTCCAGTTTGATTGAACTAAGGATAATGTTTCATTTAATTTTCCAAAAAGTTTAGTTATATATGATAAATATAGTCAATTAAAAAAAGAAGTATGACTCATAGTTTATTGCGTTGGTCAAACTTGACACTTTTTGAGGATAAAGGTACTATATAATTATATAGATTATGTAAATTAATACTACGTATAATTTTTCATTTTCACTTTCTTTTCAGCCATCTAAATGTAAGAATAATAATGAAATATATAGCATACCTCTATAAATCCCCAAATTGTCTATCTTATGGTATTTGTCCTTAACTAATGCAGGTTGTTGAAGATGGATATGAGTTTTTTGCTGACAGACAACTTGTAACGATATTTTCAGCTCCTAATTATTGTGGGGAGTTTGACAATGCGGGTGCCATGATGAGCGTTGATGAGACTTTGATGTGCTCTTTTCAGATATTAAAACCTGCTGAAAAGAAGCCAAAGTTTGGATTTGGTAGCACAACGACGACTAAGTCAGGTACCCCTACAATGAAAGCAAAGGTAGTCTTTTTGTTTTTCCTTTTTTTTGCAACAAAAGTGTAGGTTTTTAATGAAAGGTTACATATTTTAAATATTCTACCTCCATCCCCAAAAAAGTCCTGCTTCACCAGGGTAAAACTTTTAAATTTACCAAGTACAACTATTGGAAGTTATCAATTCTAGCAATGTTTTTATTATTTATTTGTTTGTTTGACTATGTCTAACAAGTTTACCTTGTTTGGGACACTAGTTAATGCATGTAATATTATAACAAATAGCTTCTTTTGTTTGATCACGATTCCCTTTTGGGACAAAAATAAGTTTTCAAAGAGGACTTTTTGTAATGCAGAGAGTAATACATGTATTACAACTTTTTAGAGCTAAACAACTATTTTCTTTTTGTTTGTGACACAATTTGTTTGACACTATGTCAGTGTTGTATCATTGGCTTGTTGCTGGATGTGTTTTCTTCTGTAGTTATTTGCTGAAAGAAAGAAGACATTACACAAACTCATGACAGGACCTTATATTACAGCAGTATATAAAGCCATGTGTTTTTAACAACTCGTCTATTCCATTTGACTATGATTCTAGTCAACAGTGTATTTATTTTCATGGCATTTACACAACTAGGGGCCCATTTTATGGCATGTAACCGATGCAGTAATTTTATAATGAGGGACCTAATTGTTTTGGTTATTTATTTGTCAAAAATCAATCCCATTATATATTACTAGTACTATGTACTCCGTATGATTTATGACAACAATATGAAGTTTGAGTTGCCTAGGTAGATAAAAGCAAAACTTCTCCTTGGCTCAAATTCATGATTGTCGTGTGAATATGTAGGTCTGTATTATTGTCTCTTTAGGATTTTTGTTAAACAATCCAACTCAGACAAAACTCCCGCGTCATATTGAGAGCCTGTTTCATAAGGGTAAATTTTGGCTGAAATAGCTGTGAAGGAGTTGTGAAGGAGTTGAATTGGCTGTAGCTTCTGAAACTGGGGTGGAATTAGATAAATTGCCTAAAACTAAAAGTATATATTTTTTACAAACTAATGAATTAATACCTGAAATTTTAAAGCTACAAGTGTGTTTTCTTCCTTTTCATTCGTTTGAACAACAAAAAACACTTATTTCTACCATCAGCCTATTTGACCATCTGATTAAATAAGTTAGTATTGAGTAGAAAGTCTTGTTGTCAACCAGAAACACTTTTCTAGCAAACAGGCACTGCTTGTGCTTGAGTGCTTCCCAAGGGATAACATAATATTATTCCAAAACATCACATGGTCACTTTATCATATATTTTGCTCTGGCTCCAATCTTACTGTTTTCTTTTCACATTCTGTGTTTATTTTGACAGAATGATCTTATTATTTGCAGTCATTTCTTGGTAGAGGATGAAGGAAACGTGGGCAGAAGGATTCTGGGGAGGGCCTAACCCCAGAATGGATACAGATATCTCTTCCCAGAAGTGATGTAATGATTTGTGTTGTGTTCTTGCGTCTGTAAAAATATTAGCCATAAGCCGGACCGTACAAATGGTTTCACTGACCCTTTTTAAAGCACTGAAATCGTAAAACCTATTCATGATTTAATCTTACTATGCAAAAAGTTTGTAGCTATAACTCCTACTACATAAGCCATTGTGTTAGTTTTATTATTATCCTCTAATAGGTGGCGACAATAATCCAATATGGAGTAATCTAAGACTGATTTATACTCCTTTTACAGTTCTGTTTGTTATTTTTTGTTCCCATTTTGCCTCCCTGGGGGAGTTTGCGGAACCAGTAGGACCAGTTGATTTTTTGCACCGAAAACAGGCAAGTTATCTGGTGTTGGATCGGAATAGGTACCAAAAATCAGTGCAAAACTCCAAACCCGTACTTCTTCCCAAGTAGGACTGGTTTGGCTTTGGTTCTGATCAAAGTTACTTCTTCCTGAATCATGTTTGGAAATGTTTGTGAGTTTGTCTCACTAATTGATATTTTACATACTTAACCTAACATTGTTGTTTTCAGTAATGAGTAATCAACTTTTGTTTCAAATTTAAAAAAAAAAACAAAAAATATTTTTCATATGCAATGGAAACAAGAAACACAGGACCCGTTTGCAAGATTTCACCATCATTTAATTTTTGTTTTCATTCTCCATTTGCTATTGATTGAGAATGTGCATGTTACAAATTGGGAAAAATACCTTGATATTACTAAAACTCATGACTTTTCCAAGAATATGACCACATCTGTTTTTAACCTTAAATATGACTAACTTAAACATCACATACATGACCAACCTTAAATATGACTAACTTAAACATCACATACATGACCGCTGGAATTATATTATAATAAGAAATGGATAATGCTCTTTTACATGTATGAACTAATTCCTTATTTTTAGGAATAGTAATTAGTACACCCTAATGCATGCATCAATAATTGAGGAAGTGATAAACGCTTAAGGGTGGTGAGCATAGGCGGTAATTAGAGGACAATAAAAAAATGAGCAATAAATTAATGCACTGTATAGGATATAAACACACAAATGACAGTAAATATGTATGATGCAGTAAATGACATACGCATTAACTTAAAGGCAATAAATCGGTTATTCTATTAGCCCGTAAATACTTATATTCTATATGATCCATATATGAAATAGACAGTAAACGCAAAATTGAAGTGATTGTGTAGGAGAGCAATAATTGTGTAGGAGGACAGTATAACATGTAGCATGTATATATTTCCTTCATTATTTTTAGGAGTTCGAATTGCTTTAGAAATGGAGAAGAATTAAGGAATAAAAGGTTAATAATAAACTAATAATATTAAAATTAATAGTAATTAATAATAATAATTATTGTTATTATGGAAACGGTTATACAAAGTATGTGTCATGCATATCATATGTCGATTGCTGAGAAACCAGGAGATAGTTTCCATATTTATTGATTGAACTAATTAATGAGGGCAGGAGTAAAATATAAAATACGAAAAAATGATACTACTAAATTACCATGCATAGTCTCCCACCATCAGAATGGGGAAAAAACATGACAAAGTCATATATTGGGAAATGCATCAAGTTTTAGTTTTATCAATGATAATTTTTTCTTAAAAATTGTCTTAAATCTGAAATACTGTTCTCCACTTCTCTATTTTGGAAAATAGAAAATATGCCTTCTAGTTTACTAATTACTACTATCTCCGTTCCAAAATAATGATCCTGCATTTTTTATTTAGGATGTCCCGAAATGATAGTCATGTCTCGTTTGGTAGAGAAATTAAAGTAGATTATCATTTATTTTATGAATTGTAAAAGTAAAGGAGTGAACGGTACAATTAAGTAAGGTTATATGAGTCATTCTACCACTATTTCTTAATATTTGAGCCCGAAAATTATATGATCATCAATTTGGACGGAGGGAGTAATATTGAGATACTAGTGAATTATTTTCTAAATTTGAGAACTCTATCTAATAAACATATTATCCAGCATTAAATTTAGAAATTAGAAAAGTTATAAAAACCTTTTAGCAAGTGAATATGAAGCTTTTCTAACTAGGACCCATTACTTTGTACAATTTTAAATGCTGTTTCGTTACTCTTATAATAACAGTTGAATTCCTGAAACAGTTTGTCAAATACATTTTGTGTTAAACCTTATATTTATAGAAAAGTGAAAAAAAAAACATGGCTAGCTAGGATTGATTCCCTTTAACTAGATTAGTCCAGGTTAAATTAAGTGAGGTTATACCTGTAATAGTACAAAAATTATCCTAAAATAAACAAAATAGAAGTGCTACAAATTTTCAGTTAAGTAGAAGTAAATAGTACCACATATGTTCACAAAATATTATTAATATAGTGGTTTAAATATGGTTTTAGTCCCCGCAAATATGACATTTTGTTTTAGGTCTCAGTAAAACATTTTCTTTGTTTTTCATCCTTGTAATATGTGTTATTTTGGTTTTAGTCCATCTCTAACTCCGAAACAACCCGACTTAGATTTTTTTTTAATTGTCGATTGCAGAAATCTACTAGAAACATTGGAATTTATCAATTTATATTTTTTTTAGGCTAATAAGAGAGTTAAAACAATATTAAATCTAATTATTCAAAATTTTAAAATATGTAATAAAAACCTTCGAAAAATGAAATTAAATACTTTTTGAATGACATGACAACGAATTAAAGAATACCTGTTAGTCGAGATTGTTTCATTGTCAAGCGGATGTATGTTGTTATCATTAGTCATGGACAAAAAAAACCAACATAAATTTCTAGGATGAAAAAAAAGAACATATTTTGAAGAGACCTAAAACAAAGTGTGCTATATTTACAGGGACTAAAAGCATTTTTAAACCCAATAATTTCGTAGTGCTTGATAGTATATGAGCCCATTTGATAACATCCCAATTGACTGTATTGGTTGATTCTGCTGTAATTTATGAAGTGTTCGCTGAAGTGGCCGGATTGATTGATTCTGATGATTTACGAAAAAAATACATTTAAAATATATTTTATTATAAAAATGAAAAACAACTAAAATGATCCTCTACAGTAACTTCAGTCAATACATCCAGAAAAGTAACTCCAACTTTATTTTTCTTATTATTACACAATTCAGTAGGCAAAATAAAAAATTACGTGTTAGATGAAAAAGTTGATTAATAAGCCTGATAAGTTGAAAAACATCAAGCTGCTCTATATCAAGATTGCTGTATTTATTCTTATGTAGGGAAAAAATTACTCATGCTTTGAAATATCACATTTTTTCATACTCGTTTTTTGGAAAGTTCTCAACTCTGAACTAAGCTAAATCCATCCAAAATTAACTAATGACAAACTAGGTCAAATAAATTAATTTATCAGACCAACCAAACCACAAACAATCATTCAAAGAGAACCGGTCCTAGTATACAAAACAAACTGTATATTCAATGGCTAGATGAAAGGGAAAGGACCTATATAGCAACTTCCTTCCTTTTGTTTTATGTTACACTTAGTTTGATTTGTAACACGATTACGTGAACATTTCTTAAACTCCACCAAAATTGTACTGAAACAGTATATTAAAACAAACTATATTCAATAGCTAGATAAAGCATTGAATATACAGTTTAGGACATATAATTGAAGAGTAATATGAATAAATGGTTACTTGTTAGCTATTTAGCTACACGATGAAAGGCGGAGCGGTTATTTTTTTTGGAAGAAGACGACTTAAATTGATATTACAGCATTCAAAAAGGGAACAAGAAGATAAAAGGACCACTTCCATCCGCCGATCCTTGAACTAGACTTAGAGTCAATCACCCTGCTAAAAGCAATATGATTCACTGATCCTGTAGTAGTGGGTCTAAATGAGCCTAACGCGGTAAGGAAAGACCCCTCATCACCCAATCCTAATGCAAGAGTTTGAAAAAAATAAACATAAATGACAAAAACAAACACTGTCTGATCGAAATAAAAGACAAAAATGAAAACATAAAAGTGGAATTTCAGCTGCACCCTCAGCTGCAGGATCATCTTCAAAGTTCTTGGCGGGTAGAAGAGGCGGAGCGGTTATTAGAACATGTAATATTGAACACTAATCTATTATTCGCCTTTATTTTTAGCTAATTTTAAATTTTGATGATATTGTATTCTAATAAAAAATTACACACTTATTACTAAAATAAGTACTCCCTCCGCCCCATAAAATTCTTCCCACTATCCTTTTTGGGTCATCCCAAAAAATTCTTCCCACTTACCATTTTTGGACAATTTGTGTGGTTCACAATCATTTCACCTTTTTCTTACACAACCACAACCATACATTTCAACTTTATTCCACTTTCTTAATCTCCGTTCCAAGTTAAAGTGGGAAGAATTTTATGAGACGGATGCAGTATTATTTACAAAAACGTGACCTGTTAAAAATTAGTTCCTTTCCAACCTTTTTACCTTTTTATTATTCAACTATTCCCTATTTTTCTAATTTCTTTTACTTAAATACGGAGTATATTTTTACTCTACTCATTACTCTCTGATACTACGTATAATTTTTATTCTCCATGAAAAACATACATTGGAGCTTATTTAAGTATGGATTACTCTACATGATGAGTAATGAGTATCATATCCTTCCATATATCACTACAAATACTAACACGTCCATCAAAGTTTGCGAAAAAACATTTTTAATTTTTCCTTTTCCAAAACATATTGCCTTATAACTTCTTTTTTAATCGTTTTGCGACTATAGTTTCGAAATTGAGGATTTAAAGTACCTCGAGCATATTCTTTTAAAGCAAGACTTTCAGAAAAAATAAAAGACAAATTTTCTTCAACAATTAGGTGAGACATACCAGTCAAATGTTTTTGATCATCATAGGAGAAATTACCAAAGGGTTGACCACTTCCAAACCTCCATATTTGAGTTTGCTTCCCCTTGGCTTTGTCTATTTTTGCATACTCCACGAGGTGAGAGGACATAAGATGCCCTTTGCAACTGTCGTATCCTCCAGAAATTCTCAAGCTATAAATTTTGGGGAAATGCTTGCAATGTGCGTACCATTTCTCGGTTTTTGGGTCATTCGTCTTAGAAAAGTTATTTTCGATAATTAAAGATTTAGTTTTAGATTTCTTACTGGGTTGGGATGAACCAGCCTCTTCCTCGTCCTCAACCTCTTCCCCATCGTTCGGGGTGTCGTGCCCCTCGGCCTCCGCATCCTCATCCTCGAGCTCTTCGT